GCCAATTTATACTGGACGGAACTGGTAAGTAGGATAAGAATTGTAAAGGTGTGTGCTTGCATGAAATACCTATTTTATAATTACCTATAAGCCACATGAGAACCTCATTTCCTTCAATTACTACTCCATCGCAGCACACACCTAATATTGAAGTATAATTACCATGCATAGATATAAGTTAATGTACCAGAACATAGACGGACACGAGCCTACCCAGGGAAAGACCCGGATACGACCACCCATGTGTGTCTAGAGTATCGCACGAGCTGACGAGTGCAACGGGAAGGACAGTAGGTGTATAGTAGACTGATGCAAAATTTGACTTTTTCGCTCCACAGTGCTTAAATGGTTTCAAATTGGGTCCTGATTAGCCTCCCAAAGTTACAACTCATTTGGTTAGAAACAGACTTCGCACAAGCCATTTAAAGTTTGCATGTAAATTACTATGGGAAATCTCAACTTTTTGTTCAGTGCCTTCTAGTCTTTTTCCATATTGAGCTGCGAAACAGTTCGATAGCCATTCTTATAGAAAATTTTCTCAGCTACAACTTTGCTGAAAATTGTTTCTATGTAAAATGAGACAGGAAAAGTTATTAATTATTTAAGAGATTGGTAAACTTATGACATGATCAAGCAGCTGCTCTGTAGGCAACACTGTATTTTGCAGTGTGACATAGTAGCCATGATTTTTGTGTCCTATTCAACGCCCCAGAAACACCAATGTTGCCTGCTGAGCAGTTGATTGAGCATGATCATAAGACATCAGCGCATTGAACCATTGATTACTTTCGATCCTTGCATTTAATCAAAAAGTGATCTTGAGCAAAGTTGTAGCTGGGAAAATTTCCTACAAGAATAAATGAATACTTTTGAAGCAGACCGATATGGTGAATTATTAGATAGACATGAACAAAAATCTTGGTTTAACCATAGTAATTCCCATACAAACTTCAAATGGTTTGTGCGATCTCAGTTTCTCACCAAATGGGTTCAAATTTTGAGAGGTTAGTCAGGATCCGATTTGGAATCGTTTAAGTATTGTGGAGCGAAAATTTCAAAATTTGCATCACTCTAGTGTATAGACTAGGGGGTTAGTCCCTAGATAAGCCAACTTAGCGGTTGGCACAGCCTATACACTGAACAATTACAATTACAATTACAATCTAGAATTGAGATTTAGATGTGTCGCCCCCTTCGGTAAAATCACTTGTTCATCGTGTATTTTGTAAAACTTTTCGTTGTCGTCGGTGCCGGATTTGAATAGTTATAAAAACTTGAGTAACGCTATAACGTGATATGAGGGGCTCGGTGGCCTTAGAGCAACCGGTTTTGCTTACTGAGCAGAACATCATGAGCCTAATCTCAAGCCCATCCACATTCAAGATTCGTCAATCGTTTTATTTGTTAACATGACTACATGGTAATAACAGCAACTCGATGATTAAAAAGGAGCTCGTCTGTCTAGTGGCAAACGTTTTTGCTTACTGAGCAGAAGACCGTGGGTTCAATCCCAAGCTCCCTCGCGTTATATGATTGTTAGGACATCAATTTAGCTTACCGTTTACCAAAACGAACCCTGCTGCTATCCCAACCCTATTACCCAATATCCCAGTTATTCCTCGTGGAAGTGCAGAGGTGTTCTAGGCTTCCATCAAAGCGAGTGTCACGTCAACACATTCCTACCCCTTCCTTTCTTGACCTGTGTTCGGGCGCGGCCGGCGCTGGTATTGCCTAGTTTGAAATCACCACAATTTACACATTGAGGATGATTGCTAGTCCCAAGCATCGTCTATTGGTTCTCTGTGTAATTACAGCTGGTCTGGCAATAACATAGTAGCAACCATGGGCAGTCAATCATGCTCATGCTCATGCTGAAAGTACACTAAATTTATAAAAAAATAGCACTCAAGTAAATTTTTTTCTAAGTCACACCATTTTCGAGATGTAGCGGTTTAAAAGTAGATATTTTTAAAATGTTGGTAGTTTTTGGCCAACACAACTAGGTATATGGCAACACAATCTAAACAACTTTTAAACGATAAAGGTGTATACTCCACTATTACTTCGAGGTTAGACAGTGGATTCCCAACAAACAATTCAAAGTCACAAATAAGCATACACATTGAATAAATGCTGTATAACAGTGTACAATGCTGAATAAAACAGGATGTCGAATTATGTGCTGAAGAAAGCTCATTGAGATCGATAGATGCGCCTTTATTCCGCCGTTTACTCTGATATGATTAATTTACTTATTAAAAGCTTTATAAACGTTGACTGTCTTCCTGGTTCAGAACCAGAAGTTTGATCTAATAACAAACTGAATAAGTGTAATTTGCACACAAGGGCGTAGCCAGGTTTCGAGCTAGGGAGGGGCGAAAAAAAAATTACTATGGAAAATTTGGCCAAATGCCATTTCACCGAAAGCCTTTGTGTTGCTGATTTTAGAGGGGGGTGAAGGTCAGAACACAAAACCAAATTTACAGGAAGGTTAATTTGTAGTAATATTTGATTTTTCAGAAAACTACACATTTGTATTACAAGATGAAGTACAAAGTCATCACTGGAATAATCAGCAAGCAATTATTCATCCATTTATCGTTTATTTTAAACATGAAGAAACAATTTATCATTTGAGGTATGTAGTAATTAGTAAAGATTAGAAACGTATGGCTACCAGAGCTAGTCTAGCGAGAAAACGTCAACATCCGATAAAAAATTCAAGGGAACTATACGATTGGGCTCAGAAGCGAAACGAGGATCAGCTGACTCAAATTTTCTTTTGTTATACAATTACTGAAGAATATGAAACTCATAAGCATGAGCTCAACGAACAATACTCAAGAGCTATAACCATTCAAGGAACTCAAAAATACAACTCATTTATTCTTATTTCTGAAAGACAAATACACTGGAGTCGCTTTTTACGCGGGTGATACGTCCCGCGTAAAAAAAAACCGCGTAAAAAAAACCGCGTAAATTCCGGAATCCGCGTAAAAAAAAACCGCGTAAATTCCGAAATCCGCGTAAAAAAAACCGAGTAAAAAAAGACCGTGTAAGAAAAAACGCGTAAAAAGCGATATACCGCGTAAATTCTGAAATCCGCGTAAAAAAAACCAAAATCCGCGTAAAAAAAAACCGCGTAAATTCCGGAATCCGCGTAAAAAAAAACCGCGTAAATTCCGAAATCCGCGTAAAAAAAAAACCGCGTAAAAAAAACCGTGTAAAAAAAAACCGCGTAAAAAGCGACTCCAGTGTAGAAGTCAGACACTTTCCAAACTGTTATAATGAAAAGAAAATTATTGATATTGCTAAGAATTAAAGTATGGATTTCTATTACAACTATATCAATCTAATAAAGTAAAAATAAATTCAATCATTCTCGAAAAATCGCAATTATAAGTTCTTTGCATATGCTAGCGAGCGAAATATGTATTTGCAAGAAAATAAATTGTTTTAAAACATACACATTCCGGATAATTTAGATCATATCGATGAAAGCATTTTCATCATCGACAAACCGACATGACACTTAATTCTGACTTATGCCCGAAAATCGTAACGACCGATTTATATGTGTGGTGATCTGAACTGTCAAAACCATAGGATTTTTTGATCTAGATAAAAATGATTTGTCCATAATAGATCAGACACGAACCAATTCATAACTTCTGCATGCGGGTTAATGTCTTAGCTAAAATATTTCCCGCGAACACGGAGCCTGATGTCAGTAGTGTGATTTGGACAGAAATTTATTGTTTTTGCTATGGTCATTCATGTCGGTTTGTCGGTTTTCATTGTAAAATTTTCTGATCTTTCGGAAAAAATATTTTTGGAACTGGAGAAGGGCGAAATTCATTGAAAAACTACCAACATATTAAAAATATCTAATTTCAAACTGCTACATCTCGAAAACGGTGTGACTTAGAAAAAAAATCTTTTGTGCTATTTTATTGTAAATTTTGTGTACTTTCATTTTATAAAATCGAAACAGTAATTTGACCATATTTTGGATATTTTTCCAAAAACTTGAGTTTTTGTAGAAATCAGTTCTTTTTTGTCCATCATTTCTCCAAATTGACCTAAAGTGCAATAGATGGCATTTTTCGTCCCCTTAAACATATCAACAAATAAAAAAAATTTACAAAAAAATCCTTTTTTGAGGAAAATTGTTTTTAAGATTTTATTTGAAATTTAAAGGGAAGGTTGGGTAATTTGATTTAAGAGTGCATATATTTTTAAGAAGTCTCATCTATTACCTGCAATATTGCCCAAGACACCAAACGGATCGGACAAACAGCTTCCGAGTAAAAATTTTCTGAAGATAAGCTTGATATTTTTCTATATGCCCTTTTCAAAAATAAGGCGATATTAAGCTGCAAAATGGCATTGTCGGTTATAAGGAACGTTTCTGAAAATTTTCAACCAAATCAAAAAATACAAAAATAAACAGATTTGCGAATTCGTTCTCAAACATTCAAGTTTGCCTGGTTTAGCATTTAAACAATTAAAAACAGTGTGAATTTTTTCTAGTTTAGTGCTCATTTTGATTTTTATTGCCTAATTTGAATTTTACATTACATATTCTAGATGTCAAATTGATTTTTTTTTTTTACTTCTGTAACTTTTTGTTTTCATATATCTCAGACTTCAAGTTTTAAAATTTTTGATTCTAAATTATCACCTCTATTCTTGTTTACGGCCGTATCCGACATTCGTACGAGCGAACCGATTCGAACGAATTCGAAAAGGGTATTCTTGTTTTCGTTCGAATGTATTCGAATGCGATTCGTATGCGAAAAAGTGTTGCCACATCAACACAAGTGTTCGAAGCAATTCGGAACAGCCAAAACTGTCAAAACAACTAATAATAAACAGCGTTCGATGTGTACAAGATGAATTGTTGTTGAAAAAGTTGAGAAAACGAATTAGATTATCAGGTAAATATGCGTTTAAATCGAAGGGTTCTATGATTTTTAACATCATTTTCTTGTTTTTAGCAATGGATACTGTAATGTTGGCTGTCTTTGCAGAGCAGGAAGAGCTGCGTTCTTTGAGAAGGCATCGGTCTAATTTGCGTAATACTACCGATATTATGGAGCTACCGGATGCAGAGTAAGTAATAAAATAACACTTGTGTACTTATATAACTGCTTACATCTTCTCACTGTGCTACAACAGATTACAACATAGCCACTTACACAACAACAACTGTGTCCTAATGCTTGTAATTTTGTTTTAGATTCATCAAAAACTTCCGGTTGAACAAGGAAGCATTTCTGTACATCCTTGGCGAAATTACTGACGAATTTCCCCCTCAAAGGCAAGGAGCCCTTTCCGTGAAGGAGAAACTCGCAGCTTGTCTTCGTTTCTTTGCCGAAGGCACCCGAAAAAAAATAACAACAAAAATACATTAAAAAACAATGTAACAATAAGACGAAAATTATTGTCTTAACAATGATTTATATTGTTACGTCTACAATAAATTTACCTTGATTTATGTTGTACAAAACAATAAATTTCATGGTAAATGGAAAATTTACAATAAAAAAGGGGGGTTGTTAAGTATCTTAACAATGAAATTTTCGTGATTTTCCCATATAATTTTTTTTCAATAACATTATATATTATTGTTATTTTACTGTTGGTTGGCGAATTTATTTATTAAAAAAAATAACAGTGTACTTTAGAGTGTATGTGTTGGCTTGACAGATCTACTTTATCGACTTTAAAAATAAATCGAAAAAATAAAACTTTGCCCCGGGAAGGGAAGGGGGTGGTATATGTCTGTTACGGGTGGTCCTTTTTTTACTGGTTATGGATAGAGATTCAATCCGGAACTTGTGAGAAATGCAGGCCAACTCCCCTGCGCTCGATATCCCTAGGTCACGTCTCCTTGGTGGTTGAGCGTCGTTGATAAGTTAATGCATTCGACTGGAGAGAATCACCCATGAAATATGCTTCCACCTGAGAGTTCCTTCCTGACATCTTCAAGTGGTGGAATTTTTTATTATTATTGTATGATTATTGACTGCACGGACAAGGTCTCCATTAAGCTTTGGGTCTAGGATAAGATATGAGCGGACGCGGACTGCCTGGTTTTGAGCCAAACGAACTGTCAAAGCCAGAGCCATACGAGCAGCGCCTATCTTAATTACATTGGCAGTGTTGCTGACCCTCTCATAGTCGGCATGCTTCAATCAGATTTATTTTTATTGTTCGTGAAGTAACCCACAATGAAAATACACCAATATTTAATGTAACAACCAAGGTTGCAAATACTCATTTCAGCTTAAACAATGTTTTTCTAAATTATGAAATAATTAGATGCCATGATCAAATTTTGAATTGGTAGGATACAAGAAGAGGTTGCAAAGAATGTGTTTGACATATTAAACCTGTTTATTTCACTTCATGAGAGTCACAATCAGCGATTTTTCACAAACTCACTCACTCACTCACTCACTCACTCAGCGATAAGAAAATCGCTGATTGTGACTCATAGAAAGCAAAATTTACAGGTTTTATGTTTCAAACGCATACTTTGTAACCTCTTCTTGTAAGTTACAAGTTAAACATGCCATCATACCATATTTTGGTTTTATTATTCCGAAAAACATTATTTTAGCTGAAATGAGTATTTGCAACCTTGGTAACAACAATTTTTATTGTAATAGAGTTGTTCATTATTGTTCATGATCGAATCATGTTAACAATAAAATAAATGAAAAATACGATAAAAATCATTGTAACAACATTTTATTATGTACATTCATTGTACATCTAGGTAGCAGTTTTGCCGTTTTCGGAAGAGTACAACATTATAACAATCATTTTTATTGTCGACAATAAATATTAATGTTAGAGCATTGTTTCCACTGAAAATTTCACTGTAATTTTTTTTTCGGGCAGCTATCAGCATGGAACCGGAAAAGACTTTGATGTCGCAGTAGCTCAGCCAACGTTTTCAAAGATCCTTTCAGAAATTCTTACTGTTTTCGAGAGGAAAATGTGTCCTCAGTGGATAAACATACGCATGTCAAATGAAGAAATGCGTCGAGCAAAACGATTTTTCTATGAGAAATCTGGTATCCCTGGCGTGATCATGTGTGTTGATGGAACACATATAAAAATTATTCCTCCGAATGTAAACCGCAACCTTTTTTACAACCGGAAAGGATTTTATAGCTTGAATGTTATGATCGTAAGTAACCTTTGTAATATTTATGTTCCTGTATGCTTACAATATGTATTTTTATAGATGTGTGACGACACACAACGAATTCGTTTCGTAGATGCCGGATATCAAGGATCCAATCATGATTCGCATGTGTGGGGGTTAAGCTCGGCTCGAAGATACATGCAGCAGCTGCATAGAAATGGCGACACAAACATTAAAATCTTAGGTAATGCTTGGTCGTTAAAATAAATGGGATACTTAGGGATCGGATTATGTTCTAAATCTTATTTTAGGCGATGCAGGTTACCCATCTGAGCCATGGTTGATAACTCCACACCGAGCACCGGAGGATGGAAGTCCTGAAAGCAACTTCAATAGGTTGCATAGTGTAGGGAGGGGCATAATTGAACGGACCATCGGAGTACTGAAAAATCGTTTCCGATGCATACTAGGTGCCCGGCAATTGCACTATTCGCCATCGAAATCATCGAAGATTATAAATGTGTGTTGTGCATTGCACAATCTTTGTTTGACATATTTGAATGATGATTTGCAATAAAGTTTTCTTCTTTTGAAATTTTGCTCTAATCGAAATACTTCTAAAATTGTGACAGATTTTAAAACAACAGAAATATACCAAATTAGATTCATAGAATCTTTAGCTACGATCTATTTTTGAACCAACATTATCAAAGAAGTTCATAGAAAGATCTTAAATTAATTATAAGAACTTCACAGAAGTTTATAGAAGTTTTTGGAATTTCAGAGAAGTTCAAAGATCATCAGAATTTGAAAATCATTTCCCAAAATTTCAGAGCAGTTCTCAAAACTTAGTTTATTTTTAATTCTCAGAACTTTACAGAAGTTAAAATTTTTTTGTGAAGTTTCACAGCATTTCTGAGAAGTTTAGAGAAGAGAATTGTATAGATTTTCAAATAATATATTACTTTACAAAGGTTCAGGTAAAATCCGAATATTTTATGATTATTTAGATGGGTGATATCTTCAGAAAAGTTTGTCAGGTGGTCAAGCCTCGGGTCAAGCACTATTGATTGATGGAAATAACAATTCGGAATTCTCCTGCCAGGCGGCGCTAGTGAGCAATCAAAGTCAGTATGCTTTGTACAGCTGTATCTGATAATTTAGACGAATGATTTCTTTGGCAAACTTGAACAAGAGGTCAAGGACCATTTGATGGTAGACAGAACAATTCAGATTTCTTAGGCTAGGCGACGCTAGTGAGCATTCATTCAAAGTCAATATGTTTTGTGCTGCTGTATCTCAAGATCGTGATGATATAGGCGAATTATTTCTTCAGCAAAGTTGAACAGGAGGTCGGCGCTAGCACAGAGAACAGACGTCCAAGCTCCGTCAGAAACTTGTGTAAAGATAAGTGGGAACATCGCAGCTACGTGGCGCTAGCATCTCCTGATTTCGTCCATAAATTTTCCACTTTCGACCAATTTGGCGCTACTGTCGATAAATTTTCTGTTGAAAATTGCCACTCGGCGCTACAAGCACTTAGTGTCTAGTGTAATTTGTGCAACGTCAGTGCCATCATGCTGTCAAAGAAGGGTTTTAAGTGGGGAAGTCGGCGTTGGTGGCGCTTAAGTCGAATAGGAATCTTTACACTAGTTTTTACATAAATTTTGTTCGAGCCTCAATGTCTGTTCTCTGTGGCGCTAGTGAGCATTCAAAGTCTGTATAGTTTTTACTGCTGTATCTCAAGATCCAGATTATTTAGACAGATGATGTCTTGAACAAAGTTTATCAAGTGGCCAAGGACACTTAAATGGTGGAAAGGGCGAATCAGAATTCTCCCGCTAGATGGCGCTAGTGAGCATTCATTCAAAGTCAGTATGTTTCGTGCTGCTATAACTCATGATTCTGATAATATAGACGAATGGTTTATTCAGTACAGTTGATCCCCCAAGGTATGTTGCATTTTTTTTGATAGTATAGACGAGTGATGCCTGCGGCAAAGTTGATCAGATGGCCAAGGACAGTTGGATGATGGATAGTACATTTCGGAATCTTTCCACTAGGCGGTGCTAGTGAGCATTCAAAGTAAATATGTTTTGTACTAATGTTTATCGAGATTCTGATTAATTAGATGAGTTATGCCTTCCGCAAAGTTGATCAGGAGATCAGGGACTGATGTATGGTGGACAGAACAATTCATAATTCTCCCACTAGGCAGCGCTAGTGAGCATGTGAACCAAAAATGTTTTGTAGTGCTGTATCTAAACATCCTGATTATTTAGACGGATGATGTCTTTGGCAAACTTGATCTGGAGGTCAAGGCTGGTGGGATTTTTAACATAACATTTTGAAATTTTCCAGATAGAGGAAGAGCAGACAAATAAAATATTGTTAGAGTTGGGAGGAAATGCTATGCTGCTACGTGAGGCTATAGTGCGACAATTTATTAGGTAGACAAAGTAATGAAGAGGATGATTGATAGTTCCGTTAGAGTACGGCAGTGTGAAAATTGAACAGAAGTTGAAAATTGAGTGAAGGGCCATTAATGCGACAGTATTCATCAAACGCACACTTTTTACCTAACTCCACACTAGGAAGAGGAGCCTTGCGGTATTTCCGCAATTCCGAATTGTACTGTAAACCATTCAAGAGCCCTTGGCTACCTGATAAACTTTGCCAAAGATATCATTCATCTAAATACTCTGAATCTTGAGAAACAGCAGTACAAAACATGTAAGCTTTAAATGGTTACTAGCTCCACCTAGCGGAAAAATACCGAATTGTTCTGTCCACCATCTTACAGCCCTTGTCATTCTTCTTTATCATCAGGATCTTGACATAAAACTATTGGAATGCTCACTAGCGCCACCTAGCGAGAGAATTCCACCATCCAACAGTCCTTGTCCTCCTGATCAAATTTGCCAAAGAAACTATTCGTCTCAATAATCATAATATTGAGATACAGTAGCACAAAACATATTGGCTTTCAATGCTCACTAGCACCACCTAGCGGGAGAATTCCGAACCGTCCGCCAATAAATAGTCCTTGAACTGCTGATAAACTTTTCCCAAGAAATCATTCGTCTAAATCAGCAGGATCTTGAGATATTGCAGTACAAAACTCATCGAATTAGAATTCCCACTAGCGCCACCTGGTGAGAGAATTCCGAATTTTTTATTCCACCATCCAGCAGTCCTTGAGTATCTGATCAACTTTGCTCAAGTCATCACCTGTCTAAGTGACCAGGATCTTAGGTGTTATTGAACTAGAATTATTTTTTGCGTCCCAAAATTTCAGAGAAGTTTCGAAAACATTAAGACGATACACTGTGGTTCATTTTTTAAGCAGACGATTTTCTTTAATAAAATCAGACATGAACAGCAGAAAAAAAAATCCATCCGAAAATAAACCGCAGGAATTTAAAATCCGAGCATAGAAAATTGCGAAAAATAAAACAGCGAAAAAAAAGACCCCAGTGTACTTCAATGACGAAGAACTTGGGGGGACGAGGGTTTGTCAACATGACATTCCATGTATTAAGTATGGGGTAATGCGCTACAAAGCGGGTCTTAAAATAATAAAAAAATGCTACGCCATTGAAGAATGCTCCTGTAAAGAACATGAGCATTCAAAAGCAGGAGTAGAGAGTTTCCCAGAAAATCAAAAAGTTTTCAGATTGAAATTCTAGTCAATTATTCCAAATACTTCAGAGCAGTTCACAAACTTCTCCAAAGTTACCAAAAATTAAAATAAGTTCCTAGAACTACATATAACCACAGACAAATAGACATAACACTCGCAACTTGTTCATCGAACAAGCATTTATCGGTCAATTTGAAAGTATCTTAGTTGGAAGTACCGCCACCTGTGGTGCGCATAGTTAATTTCCTTGCGTTTGACGTTTTCACACTACCGCCATCTGTTCAGCGTACTACCCACCACAGTGTACTCAACAGATGGCGGTTATGTTTTAGCGACGATGTTTTTCAGTGAGAAATATTCAATGTGTTATGTCTGTATGTCCGTGATATAACTTTCGGCAATCCCAGAATTTCCGATATGTTTACCGAAATTTTGACACGTCTACAATAAAGAGGCTGAATTTATAAAGAGACGACATGTCAAAATTGGAACAATCGATTTTCTGTCAGTCATAGGAAAAGTTATTCCAATCGAGCAGAAGACCTGTCAAATGGATAAGATGTCGCCTCTTTACCAAATTCAGTCTCTTTAGTCTACAAATTTTAACTGTCAAACTTCCGACAAGCGAAACTTCAGAAAGAAAACGACAAGTTAACAGAACTTTTGAAAAATCAAAATAGCTTCCGACAGTCTTACAAAACTTTCGATAAATTCACAGATCTTTTGATAAAGCTGCTACAAACTAGATTACGGTTAAAAATCACGATAATACAGACCGAAAAATATTTCGATAAATTCATGAGTAAAACTTACTCCAAGCTTTAAGTGTATAACCTCCATAAATTTAATGAATCTTCCAACAGCTTATAGAACATCCAACAAATTTACAATAATTCCGACAAGTTCATAGATCCTTCGTTAGGTCCACCGAGTTTCCAAGACAAATCTACAGAACTTTCGACAAGTTCAATAACTATTGAAGGATCACTGAGCCGTAGAACTTCATACATCTTCAGTTCTATTTCACTAAAGTATTCCACAGTTTTCTTAAAACAGCGTATTGTTGAAGAGATTAATTTATATATAAAGCGGAAAATAGACCACCTCTCCCAGGGATTTCAGAACCTGTTCCGGGGCCACTATGTGATCCAAGAAATATTCTGATTCCCATATATTTCTAAAAACAACGATATGCAGCTCGATGATTTTCTTTTGAAGTGAAAATTGACCACCTCTCCCAGGGCTTACGGAATCTGTTCCGGGGCCATCACATGACCCTAGTAAGAAACGAAATGAATAAGGTCACGTATCTTGGCAGTCACTGACTGGAATTGGACACGAACTAAACGAAGATGTGGTCTTATTGAGCGCAATTGCAGGGTTTTGGGATCGTTCAAATTACTTTAATATTCGAGAACAAGACCAATGTTGGCAATATTGAGTGCTTTAGACCTGATTGGTGACTTCCAAGTATGGGGCTCTTCAATTATTACGTAAACATTTAAGGGGAGGAAGGTTTGAATTTAAAGCAGTTCGAAATAGTTATAAAATTAGCGGCAATTTGGTTAAGACTTGACGCAATCCAAAATTCCTGAAATGCTTTCTATCATTTTGTATTTCATTGATAGGAAATACATTTATATCATTCTGACATCTTACAAAAGATTAATTGATATTAAATTTGCATGTGCTGAAGTTTCAATGCAAGAATTTCTTTTTTGGTTTTCAATTTTTCTAGATGGATTTTTTCCATTTCCAGGTTGTGTCGCCGTTGTTCCTGAAGTTGTTGGGCTTGAGCTGCTTGGATTTCCGTCATCCGCTTAGAAATTTGCTTGTTGTAGTGAGCCATATCGTCGAGCTTTTTCGCTTGAATTTTCAAAACTCCCAACAAATCTTGGTGGAAATTTTGCTGCTGTTCAACTTGCGTTTCCAGCAATCTCAAACTCCGCTGACCAGGTTGTCTTCGGCGGATGGGCTCTTGTTGAAGTTCAACTTCTGATAATTCGTCGACGGGATCATGGCCCACAAATGAACCATTGGCTACGCCACTGTTATTTTCGTCCGCCGCAGCAGGAGCCCCAAACGCAATAGAATCCTCTATGCCATCTACGGCTGCGGTGAGCCCAGTCAGAGCGACAACCCTTTCTTCAAGCGAGGTCAATTCTACTATCTTGTTGGGGCCGCCCCCTGTAGCTTGCTGCTCTCTTCGATTGTGAGCCAACTTCCGCTTCAAGTTTGACTTCCAGTCAAACCAGACCTAAAATGTTAACATGAAAATTAAGATATGATTGATATTTTTTTTAATTATTTCCTTTACCTTCTTCCATGCAGCAGGATCTTTTTCAGGACCCCCAAGGCTGTTTAAATCTTCAGCTAGATTTTTCCAGAATGCTCCTGTATCAGATCTACTGAAGCCTCTGGCTATATCCGGATGGTCTTCCAGAAGATCCACCATAGTGGAATACTGATTTTTGATGGTGCTTTTGCTTTTCGGTCTTTTCGCCCTAAAAGAAAAACAAATCTATAGTTGATATCACAGTTGTCAAGCATCACTTTGTAACTATGTAATCACACAATTCGTTGCAAAACGCAAAAAGGGTGTACTAACATGATATGCAACTACCGTAAAACGGGATATCTTTGATAATAATTTGTAAACATGTTAAAAACTTTTCTTGTTTTTTGCCTGATTGAAAAAGTTCACTCAAGCAATCACTTATGAAATGTATTTCCAATATAGCTATCACAAATCAATGTTATCTTCTTATTGCTTTTAATGTTTTCTGATTACATACTCGTTCAATGTTTTATATTTCTTGAACTAAATTGTTTGAGATTCCCGCATATTTTTCTATATTCATCGAGCATTATCAACGTAACCCCATATCAAAATACTGATATTCGGCCACAACACTAAAAAAAATAGAGCAAATGTAATAATTTTTGTTAAACACATTACTAACGAATGGACTCCAGGAACCTCAGTACTTGTTTAAAAAAGTAAAATTTGAAAAACATTCTTGCCGTGAAAAAAAAATTTAGCATATACTTTCAAAAACTATCAATGTTACCCCGTTTTACGGTACTTTAAATTGGCTTGTAATCCACGCATAGCTAAATGAACGAATTAATCAAAAAGGCCCCACACTCTGGCCCGACTCCGATACACTTTGCTATGGAAAAAAAAAACAGAATACGGAATTTCCAACTAATTAAACACAAATTTCATACTTACATCGTTCCGAAATTGAAAATCGCTGGGAAATTGCGACTTGCGTTGGTTCACAGAACTAAACAATGGATTCGTGCGCGATCCGCAAGTATCGAGTGACGAATGGAAAATCAACAAAACAAACTCATTCGAACGAAAATGGGAATCCCACAATTTGATCGAACGAACGATGTTCGAAACTTCGAATGGTTAGAAATGGTTCGAACGAAAACAGGAATACGAATGGGGGAAACTTTCGAACGTTTCTTATTCGACGAAAACAAGAATAGAGGTGTATATTTTTATTTCATGATTTTTTCTATCAATTTCCATATGAGATCTTTAGATTCACGAAATTTTATGTAAAATTATTATAACCAAACAACCAATTCACCAAAAATTGTGTTGTACATTTGTTTTTATCCACCGGCTGTCTCGAGATTCGCAAGTTTGGAGTGACGTTTGACAAGCGGACAAAAAACGCATTCGTACGAAAATGGGAATAGCACAAAAACGTTCGAACGAACGATGTTCGAAAGTTAGAATTGCTTCGAACGAAAACGGGAATACGAAATTGCCTTCCTTTCGAACGAATCCGGTTCGTACGAAAACATGAATAGAGGTGATAATTAGAAAAAAATTCAGTTGGATTTTTCTGTGGATTCATCTTTACCATATTCGATATAATTAGGTTTAAGCACTGGTTTTTCAATGAACCATCAAAAATGGCAGACACGTGATCTCAGAGTTTAAAGTGCAACACTGTTTGCTTCATTTTATTCAATATAAAATGGAAATAGAAATAGCGAATCCTAACGCAAATAAGAAAAAGGTTGCTGGAACTTATTTGGCTCAGTAATAATTCAAACTATTATCCTTAACAATAACAAAAAAACATACTCACACAAATATTGAGCTGATGATTTGACTTCGCAAATATTTAACGACGAGCTCGCAAAACTTCCCCATCGTAGTTGACGGGGGAGCACTAAAATTGCTGTTTGAAATTCTACTCGGATGTTATTTAAAAATTTAAACTTTCAAAACGACGCACATCAGTGAGACGACGGCAGGACACATCGAGCGTATGTGTACGTACCTTTTTTTTTTCATCGCGCTTCCGGTACAGCTTGGCGAAGCTGACGCACGATGATGAATTACAGGATAATACCCAGGGCTGCAAAAATAAACCTAGCGCAGTAATAAAAATTTACATATAAATTAAGCAATCATATTTGCCGAACGCAAACCGGCTGGTTGGCATCAGACGTCGAGAGGAGAGAGGTCCTACGAGCAAACGAACACCCTAGAAGGAAGGTAGGTACAAACGTGAAAACACGAATCAAGTCAACACAGCGGATTTTTCAGTAGATCCATGTGTGGGGGGAAAGAGTAATTTTTAATAGCTTTCCCAGTGGGTGTAGTGATGTATTTTTGACTTGTGGAAAGTGGAGAAAGGTCCGTAGGAAGTGAAAAGGATCAAAATTGATTGTGATGAAAATAAATGAGATTTCTCATCCGTTTGAATAAACATCACTTTCGGGTGGCTTCCGGTTCGTTCAGCCGAGATTGGAAGAAGAGTGATGTTACTGCTTATGCTCATAATGTCGAAAATTGGTCTAGTTTGTTGTACTGCTTTCAATAGGAGACAAGTAGATTACAGAATTATTAAAAAATCGCTTTTGAAGACCGCATCTTTCTAACACGATTATGAAAGAATATATCCGTAAGCTTCCGTTGATTTTATTTCTCGGTATCGGAAGAAAACCCTTTGTCTGTTTGCAATTGAACCAGTGATTAATGTATATTCATATCGTGGCAAACGTCAATTAAGCAGCACCTTAAAAGAAATAAATCTCCCTAATTTCTATCTATTGAAATATGAATGTCTCCACCATTATACGCTTGCCATATTCTTCAAATCAAACCGATATCATTAGGAGCATTTCTCACAATTCCCCCGCAAGACTAGGAATCATCCACGTCGAAATATGATACCTACGATACACCGTCATTCTTTGTTCGGTAAGATCACGACACCCAGGCACACGGAAGAAACCATTGTTATCCCTTTCACCAGCTCCGGGTTGCAATTCACACCCGTCCCATCGCCACCTCGCTGCCGTTCGTTGTCCTCGACGACGTCGATGAGCGTCTAGGCAAAGGATATCTAGCGCCAGAATTAGATAGATATTTCTGACAACCGAAGCAAAAGCCGGTCGGTGGTGGTTTGTTCGGTTTTTGTGATTAATGGCTCGATTTGCAGCATATTTGGCACTAATGCCATTCTGCTGGAAGATGAATCCGCTCACTGTTGAAAATGACTTTTTGGCTTTATAATTAATAACAGTCGAATCCTTTTTTCTGTTGCGGCTCGAGAGAAGGTCATGAAATTGATTGACGATGGAAGGTAACTCAAATCTATTTCTCATTAGAGCTGAAATGAGAACAATAAACTAGCTGATCTAGATTTGTTTCACCCCTCGGAGCGGAAATTTTAATGATCAAATAGTTCTGTCGACTTAAACTGAATATAAATCTAGGGTTAAATGTAAGGAAAATTCACTTATTTTGCTTATTTTCGACCTACACGAAAAAAAAATAGTACCCAAAATTTGAGTTCTTTCTACTTAATTTTGAGATGAGCCTCTCACTTGAACTCGTTAAAAGTACTTAATTTTGGGTAGTTTTTCATCTCCGTGTACAACTAGTTATCGCCCCTCAACAGGACGTAGTGACATATATACATATATACTATAGTAACTTTTCCACGACACACATTTCATTGACATTACATCAATGAGCATAAATCAAAGGGCATTCTGCAGAGAACGCTCCGGGAATTGAGTTCTTTATGGGTATTGAAGTGATTGCATAGCATATTCGTAATCTGCATTACAAATGGAACCGAAACCTCATCAATTTTGGAGCACTGGAACTAGTTTAAATAAGTGTGATTACATTAGCAAAAATCACCATCTTAGCGCCCCACGGTGCACTATGGGCATAAATGGGTCCAAAATTACCCAAAATTCAATATCTCAACAGCACGCTGAATTCCGGCCATGAAAAACGACTTTTCCGAAGGGAAATCGTTCGGGGAATCGATTACACGTGGTCCCATAGACCGGAGAGCCTTGTAGGTATGTGTTTTGGACCATTTTACCCCATTTTCCCCTACTTTTTGGAGGAAATGTTTTTTCACAGCTCTATTTTTTGTAAAACACAAGCACTTTATGCATGGTTTTAGAATACTATGTCTTTAAACAACAGTTCATGAGATATTAAGGGAATACGGGGTACACTTTATAGGGGAGTAAGGGGTAAGAGTGAAAAAACAATCAATGTTTTTTAATACAAAATCCTACAGAGCAACAGAAGCAAGGTGAGGTTTTCGGTAAAGAAATCTGACCGATTCACGACCAGGTCAATCCAGGTGCAAGCGATCGAGTCTTGGAACGATAACTGGTTGCCGTGGAATTGCAGAAGTCGGCGGGAGGTCCATTTTGCAGTATAACTGATATGCCTTCAAGTTACAGCACGTCTTGCATTTCCAATGTTGCTTATTTCAATCCTGAACATCACGGTCTGCAGTCCACCGATGACGGCTTCCTTTATAACACCGATTCTGAACATACTGCACCGAATTGTAGCTGCCACGTTTCTGAAACTGTCAGCCCAGAACGCAATGCCTACCGCCCCATGGAAGCCCCTAAGCCTCTCAACGCAGTCGTGTGTACTGATTCCTGCCATCGTAGTCGTTCTGGCCCTGTGGTTGAGAACGGTGAAGGGGTATTCCAACCTTCGATTTCAGGCAAGTATGCGTTTATTGAAACCAATTACTCGCCTGATTAGCCTCCACGTTTCAGCGCAACGTCTTCTTCACCACCGACTGAACCTTGCCTTTCCGATTGCCAACCTATGTTATCCGATGGACTTGTGGTGTATTATCAAAATGTTCGTGGCTTGCGAACTAAAATTGATGACTTATTCTTGACGACTTATTCTTGACTGCTGTTGAGTCCAACTACGATGCAATAGTTCTTACCGATACCTGGCTAGATGATCGAATTCACTCAACACAATTATTTGGCAGTAGGTTCTCAGTTTTTCGTAATGACCGTAGCCGGATGAACAGTGCCAAATCACGGTGCGGTTTCCAAACGACTGAACTGTTGCCTAACTGACTACGTCGCATGGAATCACTCACTGGCCCAGGTAGATTGGCAGTCGCTTGACTTGTGTTCGTCCATTGATGAAGCCGTTAACTATTTCGACGAAGTTGTTAGCCGA